GTATTTTCTTATGTTTGGGGAAGATCTTTGGTCATGATTAAGGAAAACTCAGTTTTACCAAACATATAAACCTGTCTCTAGTGTCAGAGAAGAGCCTTACCTTGACTTCAAAGGATTCCACTGTGATTCACTCTGTCTTAAGTCCCATATTAAATCCCACTTGATGTCCCCATGTTAAATCCTCTCATATGTATCATGTTAAATCCTACATATGTATCATGTTAAATCCTCCCATATGTCTTAAATTAAGTTCTCCTGATTGTCCCCATATTAAATCCTCCCATATGACAGCTCTTCTCTGTGCAGTTCGTATGTGGAGAAAATGTGCTTCCATCTTATTCATTCTATGCACACTCTATCTTCATAAAGTACACTTTTCTGTTATAGCATGTAGTTAAATTATGCATTAGGAGTTGCTCTGACTGGGTTAGCTTTTGAACTGATGATGGTAGGTTGGATTCTGCTCAGTCCTACAGCTCAGGCTTCAGCAGCCCTTCATCCTCCTTAAAACGTGTCTCCCTTTTTGTTTCACTCTTAAACAGACACTCAGAAGCACTTTGAAGTATGGTCAAAGGCAAATATAAAAAGAGCAGAGTGTCCTCTGTGAAGAGGTGCCTTTTGGTTGCAGCTATTCCCCAGGCTCTCTTGGCCTCAGGCCTGCATGGCAGTCCACCTCCAGTGGCTGGCAGACTGGCTCAGCTTATATATCCAGGAGACATAGATTATATCTTGAAGCATTGAAGGGATTGCATGTGAAGAGGACAAAGGAGGAATCAACTCTCTTTGGGACAACATGAAATACTAAAACAAGTAAAACACACCTTTCTTTATTGTGAGGCAGTTGACCTTCTCCAGGATAGCAAATGTGATTAGAGTTAAGCTAAGGGCATCCAGCAAAAGGCTGGCAAGTAACAGGTGTGTTAACCCAGTGAAGAGAATCTTTTACTCCCATGTTGTATCTGTGGCAAAGTTCAGAAAATCACTGGAAAAGCTGGAGATCAGTGCTAAAGTGTTAACCCTGACGTTGGAAGGTCTGGCTTTGGTTCTGAAGCTGATGTTCCTTTTGGCGGCTCGAACTCTGTTTGTTCCCCATATGCTCAGAATGAGGAAGAATACAAACCTCTGGAAACACCAGCTGATGATAACAAGGAAGTGAACACAAAAGAGAAAGACTGATCCAGCTTGGAGATTGTTTGGTTGTCATGCAGACCAGTGTTGACGATCTTTAATTCAAACCAAAAATGTTCACACTGTTCTACAATACAACTTCTTTAAATCACAGTTTTAAATGAAATCTCATTCAACATTTTCAGCTTTACATCAGTTATATATGCCAAAATGTTTAGTAAAATGTCAGAATATCAAGAGAGAATTTTTATAATTATGTTTTTTTCCATAAACTAAAATAACTTTCAATTGAAACAATGTGTGGAAGCTCATATGATGAAAATATGAACTTCATAAAGTCTAACTCATTCCATGTGGGCATAAAATGCAGATCCTGACATGCTTGTCTGACCTGTTCAAATAACTGCAAAAGTATCATAAACAACCAAATGTCCAGCGGTCATAATGTTCAGCAATGAGACAAGTTCTGTGTTGCAAGAATGAATGAAAGAGTTTTGGCACAAAGACGCTGACAGAAACCTCTGACCCAAAACAAGCGTAGAAAGGTTCTGCTTCCAAAATACTAAAGGAAATGGATGGAAGCATCTCAATAAAGAAAGTTTGTGAAATCAAGCAAAATGAAATTACCTAAATTAGGAAAAGTTTACTTGGACTATACAAAAAAAAAGTGAATTATTTTTGAACAGTGTATGTAAATATCTGCTTTCTACTATATAAAATTTGATTTGCCTGGAGCTGACATCACAAATAGACATAATGCTTTTGGACAGTTGCCAGAGCATCTGACAGTCAATCCAAACAGTGAGTGTGAGCATCAAACAGAATTTGATGAAATTTTGCTTGTGGGTTTAAATCAGGTCAAGCAATGTGTAATCCACAGGAGTACATATGTGCAAATAGTACATGAAAGCAACATCACACGTTGTCTCTAAACATGCTATAAACAGCATAGCGTATGCCTCACATGGTGGAAACCTGCAGAAATTACTGACATGTAGAACAAACAAACGTTGACAGCAATGCAGTCCCTTTATTGAGTAAATTCAATTCAGTTCAATTCTATAGCACCACTTCACAACAAATATCATCTCTGGGAACTTAAAGAAAATCATTTTCAATTCTATCACACATACATTCCAATTGATCCCAGTTATCAAACAATACATTAAGCAGAGTTCATTATTCAAATTAGATAAAAAAGAGTCACAAGATTGACTGGCAGCATTCACTCTTCCTGGACCAGCTTGTGGCAACAATCGCATTATGTCATTGATTTTACAGAAATCCCTCATACTCACCATGCATCTAGCAAGTGTGGAGAGGAAATCTCCGATTTAACAGAAAGAAGCCTCCAGCAAAACCAGAACTTGGCTCGGTCCAAGTGGCTGTTTTCCATGACCAACTGGGGGTTTGAGAGGACACTGGCGTTTGATTAAAACTCCAGTGTCCATGCAACTGGTGCAGTTGGTAGCTGCAAGAAGGTCCAGGGTACGAATCCCAAATTGGGGTCTTTCTGCAGAGTTTATATCTTCTCCCTATGGGTTCTTTCCTGGTACTCTGGCATCTCCTGGTACAACAGTCATGTCCTAAACCATGACTGTTAATTGGTCTCTAAATTGACATGACGGTCCACCCCCAACCAGAAGTAGAGCAAACCTCTGGAAAAAAAAAAAAAGTCTTATAAGTTATTTGTGGGAAACCACTGACAAAGATTTTAAAGCCCAAAGGTCTGAGCAACCATGAGGGAACTTCGAAGGAAATTTTTTTTCGTTTTGTCTTCAATGTACCTTTGGCCCTGTGATGGTTTTCTGCTCTCTGGTGGCAGTTGAAATTCATCTTTGTTTTTTAAATAACATTGCATAATATTAGAGCTTAATCGTTAAAAACAAATCATTCGATTAGCTTTTCTTGCATAAATATTATCAGCTGTGATAATCTGTCCCACCTCTTTTACCTAACAATAATAATCCTTTAGACCCAGAGCATCCAATTGTAACGTCGCTCTACCATAACCTAAAAATAAGGTAAGGTAATAAGAGTAGTGAAGTTATCCTGCAGCTCCAACTTCACCTTACTGGTCTTTTCATCTGACATTTTTAATCTTCCAAATATTTGGCCAACCATGTTTTCTGCCATGTATCTGTACATCCTTCTTGGCATAATTCTGGAAGCAGGTGAGTAATTACATAATTAAGTATCTGAGTTTTGATTATGCATGTCAGGTTGTGTATGAATATTTGTACCACATGCCTGAAAAGTTATTGATTTACAAAAAAAAGTGCTAATGTGTAACCACAGCACACATTTATACTTCTCAATCCAATTTGAACAGACAAGTATTCAGCTGTTCATGAGGATAACTCATTTTTTTTAGACTCCATTTTTGGAAATGGAATAAATTAAATGTTCTTAAGTGCATGTTCCCCACTGACAACTTTAAGCCATTTTTTGATTATTTTCTCTTATGACAGTCGTAATGATAAACTATGACAACTTTGATGGAGGTTCAGGTTATGGGTGCTTGGACTTCAGGATGAATTGCAACTGCTGATTGGTTGGTTGCTGACATCTCACTGAACTAAACGACAGGTGGTGGCATGTCAGTTGTCCTTAGGTGTGAGTGAATTGGTTGTCCTGTGTCTCGGTCTTGCCTAAGGGCCTAAAATATGTTATACATAAACACTGTGGAAGAATAATGAGCAGCTTGTTTCATTTTACACTGCAGTACTTCAGATTAACTTTAGCAAGAATTTTTCAACAGCTCCATATGTGATGCTCAATGCACTAATCCATGAACTACTTACCTAACCCTTGATGATAAATGGAACAATGAACAATCTAGAGTGGAAACACGTTTGAGATTTGATCTGCACCGAACCAGACGGCCTGATCTGGCTCTAAATTTGCTCCACATGCAGAGCAGGACGTTATGTTAAAGATTTAAACTTGAAGAGCTGGCACACCTGAAACAGCAATAAAAGTCAAGACTGTTCACATCCCACTCATTTGCTCTGGTGACACAACATCATCCTTTAGGTTAGCATTTGTCAACCGGGGCATTGAGGCTACAGTGGCAGCAAAAATTTACAAAACGGGGGCACTGCCATTCTATAGGAGGGCGTTTGTTTGAAGGTAAACTTTATTCCTTAAATGCACGTGCTAAAACCTGAGGTGTGTAACTTTAAAGCATGCTGCAAATGCACTGGTATCGATGGCAGCTCTTCAGTGTTTGTTGGCTTCTTGGCGCAGCTATGTGCGCCTGCTACTGGTAGTTTCACCACATCATTTCAGGGTTACAACGGCTAGGTTTTACTGTGATTCACTTGTCACGTCATGGGTGTCTGGCTTTCAAATATTTTATATCCTATTGAGGGTTTTTGTATGCTTGTTTTGGCAGTGATGTAATCGTATCATAGCAGTAACTTTGACATGACTTTTAAATTAAAACAGAATTTTTTTTTTAATGTTCATGTGGATGCTGCATGCTTCCATGGAAGGACAAAGGAACATCCCTCTAATAAACCTCTAATTACCAAAAATCACAATTCCTTCACTGTGTAACCCTCAGAAAAATGAACTCATTTAAATAAAGAAATTTTACCATGGGTGATACCATGATACACATAGTTCATTTAATAGAATTAACATCGATGCTGTAGGCAGTACAGCACTAACAGCACTTTTAAATCTCACTGATCAGTTATCGGGATTAACAAATTTGACATTTCAGCACTTTACACATTTGAAAACATTTTTCCAACAAAGATAATAAACATTTATTTGAACACCACTGATTTGCCATATTTAGTCACCAACCCAACAAATGAAAAGTTAGATTAATTTTTACAGTTAATAAAAGACATACACATAGCCAAGTTTAAGTGCATTTAATATAGAGATAAAATAATGAGTGACAAACAGTAAAACATCAGTATCAGACTACAGACAATATCAGAATAAACATAAATAGCAATAAAAAGATTGGCCACAGTCAACTATTTATGACAAAAATAAATATGTACACTTATATAACACCCCCATGCACACATTGTAGACAATAACAGGTATACATAGAAGCAGACTAATATGCTTTTCTTCTTCCCAACCTCGTGTTTACAGCTTTATAAAAGCTGTAAACCATAATAGTTTACATGCAGAAAATAAAGGTCAAATAAAAGAGCTGAAGTTAGAGGTAAAAAACACATTTTCCCACTAAAAACATGTCAGTTTAGATGTTTGTCTAATATTGAAGAGAATTAAGTCAGTGAGAGAAAAATGTTACTTTGTTATTACAGGAACAGCTGAACAGTAATTGGTAAAAAAAAATCTTTGAAATTACAATCACATTAGCAAACATGTTAGAGTGCAGAGACAACAAGGGACAGACAAACTAATATGTACTCTCGCTCTACAGCTACTGTCAATGTGTCAATAAACAAAGCAAGTCAGGCTAGTCATGGAGGATATTCAACAGCGGCGTGTCAACAACCTGTGAGCTGACCAAGCAGATGAACAGAATTGGTCCTTGTAAATGCAGGACATCAGCAAAATTTAACTAAAACAGTCTCCTTCATTTCTTTTTCAGTGTGCAGTGAACCTCAGCATGACAACATGCCATTCCAGCTCAGAGTTCATAATACCAGCCACATCCATGGGCTGGGCTTCACAACCTGCATTAGGAAAAAGAAGTGGTGCATCGTCTTCATACTGCTATGGAAACAAGACAATTCTGATACTGGCAAATATCAAGATGTCCTTTCTGAGGATTCCTTCAATAAAATACTGTCACATTTCTGCATGTGGAAAAACTGTTCAGAGCTTCAGAATGGAAACATGGAAGAGTTGGTCCAGAGACTCCAGCTGATTTAACCAGAAAACATATTTTCTGAGTTTATCTTGGAGGTGGAGGAAGCTGGTTCACCAACCAGTGACATATCAAAAGAGATGGGTGGATGACCGGGAGAATGTGTGGTACTTCCTCTCAAACATGGTTTGCAGGTTGACCATGGAGGGGGAGTGGTGCGCCTGAAACCAAAAAAATACCCAACAAAAACTCATTAATAGTAGCATGGACAAAAAGAAATAGAAATCTAATGTTTTTTTCCCATATTTGCTGTTAAACGATTTAGGTTATTAAACACCATTTTAAGCTGGTAAAACAAATTGCTTGTATTCCTCTCTTCCACACATTTTGCAGATTCAATTTTTCTGCTGCTGGTTTTACATTTTAACCCTCCCGCAGTCTAAAAAGATGGGGTCATTTAAACCCCACTCGTTTTTTTTTTTCTTGTGCGCAATACTGCGAAAAAAATTTAAAGGGGCACAAAAAAACTTTTTGGTTGTTTTGTGTGCTGGCTTTGGAAAGACAGGCAGTCATCCCATCCCAAGGTGTTTCTTCACTGTCCGACCATGATATTCGCTGTCCTCCTACTGAGTATTGCGTTAAGACCACAGGAGGGTTAAGGGACGCTTTACCTTGTGCACCTCCCAGCGATTTCACACTTACTTCGCCTACGCATTTAACCCCCGTGTCGTGATTGTCTGACCTTGACCTTTGCAGTGCTCCTTTGAGTGCAGTGCCAAGACCACCACCAGGTCCAGATAATTTATGTATTTGCACCAGCCTTCTTAACAAGCTCGTCCTTTGCGCTCTCAGCCCCACTGCTTTCAACTTGCTCTGTATTGATGCCGACCAGTTATGTCATCAATAAGCATTACTGCGGTTGGCTAGTAGACTGCAGATCTCTGTCGTGAGTCAAATTTCTGTTGTTTCTACCATATGTTATATATGTTGCATATTCCTATTTCAGAGCAAATAAAAATCCATGAGGTAGAGTTTGGAAACAATAAAACTTCAAGAGGGAATCTGAATCTAACGTATCAATCTTATACTGACTTGGTATCGGTTTTCATATTTTGGATGGAGCCGCCCAACTCTGATTTTAACCTATGAATGTGCTGCTTCGATGGCCTCTGTCAGTGTTATTTGTCATTTCAACAAGAAACAAGAAGCAATGTCGAGAGAAACATAACTAACCAATTCCTTCTACATCAACTCAACAACATGCAGAAACAAAGTTCAGTCATCTAAGTATCTCAATGTTTTTCAAATGTCTTAAATTCACATCTATTTCAGATTCAAGTTTCCATTTTTTGGCAGATTTTTTATAATATCTATTTGAAAGTTCACCAAGTTTTTATACAAGATGTTCTACAATACCAGGAAAGAAAAAAGAAAGAGCAGACTGCCAGATAGCTGGAAAGGCACATACATAAGCTTGATAAAGCAGACAGCAAATGATCCCTGAAGTAAGGAATTTTTATATTTTCTAAAGCCACTCTAATCCAAATCAGAAAAGACCGAAGTTCTTCATGCCTGGCCGATATAACTTTAAAACGATTAAGTCATTCTTTTTTCAATAAAAAAAAAATAAAAAATTAGACCAGCACTTTCAAAAGATGAAACAAAGGACCTTTTACCTCTACAAGGCCTCCCAGCCATTCCCCTAATCTTTAGATTCTGTAGAAGATTAAAGTCACAACTCTGGCTGGGCCACTCCAGTGTTAATATTCCTTCCATTTGGAAGAAACATGTTTAAGAAATTAAAGATGACTTCAATCCTAATTGTTCAGGAACATGCATGTTTCTGCATCCTGTTGTAGTAATATTACAATCCTCTATTAAAAGTGCACAAAAAAGGAAAACATACTAGTATGACTTGAAGAGCTTTGTCACCATGAAGTAGAAGGTGTTAGGGGGGCGAACGGTCAACTGTCAATGTAAAGTTTTGTCCAAGTTTTAAAAACGGCTAATCCCATTTTTGTATTCAACTAAGCTTTACAAACACGTGATTATTGCCACCACGACCACCACCAGGTGGATGCCCAGACTGATTCATTGGAAATATTTGTCCAAATTAATCAGTGTAATTTCTGCCCCACCTATGAATCTCTGCCAGTTTTCTGTCACTTTTTGAAACCATCCTTTGAAGATGTTGTGTAGCTGATGAGATCCTTGTTTTGAACTCTTACTGATGCAGGCTCTTAGCTTCTAAGGAGTTGATCTTGGTCTAAGATATCACCAGTGCCATTTGTTTTGTTAGTGTCAAACAGAACACACCAATGAGTGAAGTTGAACCCTACATTATAACCAGTATTGGTGAACCCTTAGAAGAGACCAGACAACAGGTAAACTTTGCTCACATGGGACTGCAGGAATAACGTCAGTGGCGGTTTAGATCAGCATCTCTCTGCGAGGACTGGTCAGTACAGCAGACTGTGGCTCCACTTGAGGATCCAGGCACGACTCAGAAAAGATCCTGGTATTCATGGTAATGGGCTGAGGACTTGGGCTTCTTGGCTGAAAATCTCCAGAGGCAAGACATCTGGACAGATCCTGGCCAGATTGTGGTTGGATGTTTTTAAGATGAGGGGAGCCAAGACCAGCTTGTGTGAAGATGGATTTCTGTGGGATTGACTTGGGTTGAATTGTTGGTACAGAATGAGAGGTGGACCTGTATTCTTGGACGACAGAGGTGTATTTGAGTTCAGGACCACCGGAAGTGTTTGATGCAATGTGGGAGGAGTGTGTTTTGGCTGGAGTGCAGGGGCTACATTTACACACAGGGATTCTAGGTTTGACAGGGGCATGATCCAAGGAGTTGGAGCGTTGAACCACAGCACTGTTTTTGGTAAATTCGTTCAGACTGAATGTGGAAGAAGAACGGGGCATCTGAGGTGCTCAACAGAAGGAAGACACATGGAGAACAGGTTGGGACATGAAAGGAGCAGCAACAATAACAAAAAGAGAAATTAGTGAGAACCATTCAAGTCCAACAAAATATTTCAACTGTAAAAGGTACATCTTTAAAGAGTTTTAATCTATAATTTTCATATATTTCAGATAGTTGAGCTTGTTTCCTCTCAAACAAGCTCAACTTTGCAAAGCTTTTCACCCTTCACAAACAGCTTCAGGGCAGGGGCTTCATGGAATCGAGCTTTATGATACAGCAGGTAAACACACGAGACACGTTCAATAACAAAGGAGGCACCCCTTATGAACATCTTTCTAATACTGATATTGTCTCAACTGTGCTCCAAACCTTCCTGATTTGCAAGTACAGATTCTACTGGATCTACCAGGATCCCACATGTTGTCCAATACCACAGCGATCTTTTCATAACCCAGAATGCCAGGTGGGGCATTTTGGGGTTGTTGAGTATTTTCATCTCAACTTTCTCCATATTCACAGCTGAGCAGAACTGGAGAATTTGAGAGCAGCCAAACATCCAGTGTGACTATTTCTGAAAACTTGTGTTAAAGGGCACATTACCCCACTATAAAAAAACCCAACTCTGGTACTGGGAATCACCAGAGGTGATAAAGGAATTGTGCTCACTAGACACCTCATGAGATTCTCCTCATTTGTTCCATACACTCAACCAAGTGTTGGAAACATTCCCCCACACCAGGGCTGCACCGACTCCAAGCTGACAAGAGTGTTAGCCAGTAGAGACTGCTGCTGCTGACTCTACACACTGAAATCTGGTCAGGTCAGGTTTCAGTGTGTTGTGAGCTTCTCCCTGCTATCACTGACGTCCCCTTTTTTTCTCCATTCTGATGCAAGACTCCTCACGAGCTGCCCCAATGACCTGAGCATCTCTCTCTATCAAATGAACTGGTGTTCATACAAACATGGTCCATGAGGGATTTTGTCACTTCAGATGGGTGTCAAAAAGTCTTTTACATGAATTACCTGACCAAAACATCACTCTTTCTACTAATTTCCCCTGTAGTGAAACCTAACGTCAAGTCCACAAAATCAATAATTGTATATAAATCTTCCACATGAAAGGGTTCATTCACAACAGCCCTGTTTAGTCTGCTTTAATCCAGCTCTAGTTTGTTGGGGGAGGTGTGAAAGTGTAATCTAACTCTGATGCAGTCCAAAAAAGTTAACAATGATCTATATCGGCGGTTTTCAAAGTGTGAGGCGCGCCTCCCCTGGGGGGCGCCAGAGCACATTAGGGGAGGCGCGGTGCGAGGGAAAAAATAAACCAAAGAAGAAGCTATCCGCTGCTGTCTGCTGGTGTGAGAGAAAAAAATGGACAAATCTTTAGTAAACGTGTTCATCTCCTTCTCTTCAACCTATCTATGTGAATGTGGGTTTTCCGCACTCGCAATGATAAAAAGCAAATCCCGGTCAAGGCTGCTGGTTGAAAATGATCTGCGGTTATACCGCTCCACAGTGCAACCCCGCATTAACCGGATTTGCGCATCAAAAGCACAAGCACATTGTTCCCACTAAAACGAAGGTGAGCTGAACAGTAATGTTGCCAATGTGTTGCCACGTTGCCAATTTAGTTAAAATCATAAATAAAATGAGTTACACATGATTCAGGACCGTGGTAGAAAAAAAAGGGGTGCGCATAGCGTGCGTAAATGTTTTTTTTCTTTTGTATGCCTCCGCTCTTTCATACTGCACGCTCTTTTAGCTCGAGATAAATTTTTTGTTTAAATTGTTTAGATGAGCCACAAAAAGAGCTCCACAATTTTGCAACTGTTTAGGTTTTTGATTTATTTTTTAAATTTCAAGGAAATGTGCAACATTTACAGATGTGTTCCAAAGATCTGATCAAAATGTTTTTGTTAAGATGTGAAAACACTGTTGTATCTTCTCTTTTAAACTCAGAATCTCAGATGTAACGTTTGTTTGAGAAAACAGTTGAAAAATGAGTTTGGGGTTGTTCTTATCATTAGAAAAATGAAAAAGGGCGTATTTGCCATCCAAAGGCCCTGATAAACTAAACTACTTAAAATGGGAGGAAATGTTTTAAAATGTTCATGTGTTAAATTTCATTCAGATAAAGTGTCATTTTAAAAGATGAGATGGTTCTAAAATAAAAGCAATTAGAAGGTGTTTTGTGGTGGCATTTGTTTGTGTGTGTGTGGTGGGGCTGAGGGGGGGGGGATGCAGCAGGCATTGTGCTCCTTGGAGGGGGGGGCTCACCCTTTCATACTTTGAAAACCCCTGGTCTATATGGTTTGATCTATGTAGTCTAGCTGTAGTTATGTTGTGATCCCATAAGCCACTACCAAACCAATAAAATATTTCAGTTTAAGCCCTGGTCTTGATGACATATTGATACCTTTGCTGTACAACAAGAGAAAATGTATAATAAAAAAAAACAGTAAGCAGTATAATGCAAACATATTTAAATAACTATGCATTTTTCTTTTTAAATGTTTTTAAAAAGAAAGAGACAGTATTGGGCAAAAATATCTGGTGAAAGTGTATAATTTATATGTTCTGCTGCTGTTAAAAAACTGTTTTTGTGTTTACTTGAAAGTTACAGAGGGAGTTTGCTGAAGGTCAGTGATGTGTGGTCAGGGAAGGCAGAGCCTCTACTGTCATCATGGGAAAATAATAAAATGATAAAATTATTTATATTGCTATTTTCACCCTGTGGTTTGTACTATAAAAATAATTTATTTTTCATTTAGCTTAAACAATTTTGATTATTTTTTCTTCTAAACCACAACAATAACTTATTAATAACAGAAAAAAACAGTAAGCTTAAATGCATATGACTGCAACAGACTGAATGTTCTGCTATTTGTGTGGGAAATATTTGAATGATTTTTGTGGCGTTGTTGTCAGTTGTTATGGCAATGTCTGCGTAGCCACCCTGATACAGGGAGTGAGGAAGAAGTAGTTTTGAGTTGTACTTTCATGATTGTTCCCTTTGCTGTAGAACATAGCAGAAAATTAATAATATCTACATGTCCAAGTTTGATTGAGTTTATGGAATTATTCTACGGCATGGCATGTAAAAGAATAGTCTTTTTGCCCTCCAGCGTTGTCCGCATGCACAAAATTTTCCGATGTAAACAATAACATGCAGGGGCCTATATTTATAAATCTGGTTTTGATTAAGTCAGTGCCTCACCAGCTATGAAACTCAATGCACGTCACTGCTGAAGGTGTAGCATCTCTTCAAAGCGCCACTGTTCTGTCAGACCCAGAGGTAGTTTGAGCTTCATTATCTTGTAGGATTTCTAGTAAATTTTAGTACTGCTCTAATGCTTTGAGTGAGAGGCAGGTCATGTTCCCTAAAGGTCGTTTCACTGACAGTCCTAAAGAAAAAAAAAACAAAAATATATTTTTTAACAGCAGAAGTAAAACTAATTAAGGCGGTTTGGACATCATGATGTTTAGTTGTCAGGATTGTCCTACATACAGCTAGTAGCAGAACTATTTAGGGACTGGATATTTTTGAACATTTTTAAAGAACATATTCCCTCATAAATGTTTTCAATTAGTGCTGCACAATGTAGTGCAAGTTTATCATTGGAATATCAAAGTATGCAATTTCCATGTAGCAACCAGGAATGAAAGGAGCATGAGTAAATCATTTAGGTATCAGCTGCTTTGTAGCATGGTAGCAAAGCAGTTGGGTCCATTCCCTTCCTGTTGAACTATCCATTAAAAGCAGACTGATTAGATATGATGCTCAAGGAGGGCCACAAACAACTGATAACATATTTCTGACAGAAAGAGCATCAAAAAAGTGTTGAAACAATGTTGTAGAATCCTAAATCATAATGTGCCACTCTCCTGTTCCTCCTTCAGGCTCATTTGTATTTAGAAACAACTGTGTGAATTAGAGAATCCAAAGAAACATTGTTTTGGAATAGTTTATCAGATGATAAACTATTCTTTTTAGAACAAATCTACAAAACATAAAATTGCATCTTCCTGTGTCTTCCTGGCAGCAGCCAGTCACTGCATGTTGGCATTTTGGATCATTTCGCTCGGCTTGTTTCGCTAGATTTAGTGCAAGACCTTCGATCTCCCCAAATCCAAACCACTGTCTGCTTTTTTCAGAAACTGTACAGAGCAGATTAACAAAGATAAATAAATAGAAACATATCCTCTGATAGTTTATCAGAGGATAAACTATTCCTCTGATAAAAAATGCACATTCACCACTCCTTGAGAGTGGAAATGGAAACACAGTATCAATTACTATCAGTAAGAAAAAACTGATCAGAAGGAATGACTTTCTCAGAGTTTGTATGAAGTTTGATTCATTACGTTTCATCTTCTCATATGTACATACAGGAAATATAGCAAAAACCAAAACACAGCAGACAGCCTCTTGTGGCAATAAAGCAAAGGTCCGTTCTCATGAATCAAGAGCAGCAATTTGGTTTAAGGAACAAAGTCCCAATGTCAGAAAACCACTTGATGTGCCTAAAAGATAACAGCTAACGCACTGATTACTAAGAATAACGATTTATTTTGTAATCAGTAATTAATTGTGAGTATTGTGAATATTGGTCCCCATTTAGTCAGAACAGAAATCACATCAGAACTTTGTTCATGTTCAAACATGACAAATATATTAAATAAAAAGAAGGCCGTGTGCACAAATCATCTAAGTTTGTCAGTAGCAAGGCCGTCTCTATGACAGACCAATAAAAATAAATTAGACTTACAGCCAACGTTGAGCTGCTGCAAACCCGGTTCTCACAGCTCAGCCTCTGATTTTTCTCGTCTGGAGTGTTGTTGGCCAAGAAGGCCCTCTGGAGGACACGCTTGGGGGTCTTAGTGAAAGAAAATGCCCTTGTTACCTAAATGGAACAAACAAGTTATGCGTTTTTGTTTTTAAGACATGTTTGTTAGTTTTCTCAAAAGTAACATGGTGGCTATTTTCATCATGAAGAAATCAACAAAAACTAATTTGAGTCATGGTTCTATGAAGTTCTTACGATCAGAGGTGCACCGATTGCAGTTTCTGTCAGATCAATTAGCTTTAATCAGCCAAAGTTGATGATTCCAACTTTGGCTGATACTGATATTTTTATATACAGCATCAAAGTTGCAAAGTTGGCAACATTGGGGTGACTACTAGCTATCCAGTGCAGAGATAACCTGGTGGGTGGAGGGGGCTGATTTTCAAACCTTTGTTTGGTAGATAAGATAGGTCTATCACTGTTTACCAAAAATTAAGAAAATTCGGGACAATCATTTGATTGGCCAATCAGTGCACACTAGTTATGATTAACATAAAATTCAAAATCCTTGCAAACTGTTACAGTGAGCAAGGGTTTACTGATTTTGGATTTTTTTTTCTTCTTTACTTCAGCTTTAACAGTCACACAGTTAAAGCTGCAGAGAAAACTAACCATCTCAGTCTTTTTATAAACATGAAAGACAAACAGATAAGGATCTCAACCTTGTTAGTAAGGAGGTTCTACAATAGCAAATGATGAACAATAACAGGATTTATTAAAATATTGAGCTTTTTAGTAACTTTAATTAGTCATTTCCTTAATTTTTCATAGAACTCTCTTATAAACTATAATAGTTCTGACAAAAGCTTTCCTTCCAGAAGCTTCTCAGAACAGCTTGCTAGAATTCTGGATTATTCTTGTTGACAGAACTGATGTATTTGAGACAGGTTTATAGGCCATGTTTTATGTTGCTTTTGGAGTAATGGCTTCTTTCTTTCATAGTGGCTCTATGTCAAAATATGAAGCAGTAAATTTGGGCAAAATAACTTTCAATCCACAACGAAAAAACAAACATGCGTGTACCACAGCACAACAGTTCATGATACATTTGTGAAGATATCTATTAAACTGGACTTGTTTAACCGATACCTCTGAAGTCCAAGAGAACATACTCTCTGTTAAGGTTACAAGAGAAAAAGAAAAAGATGGTTTAGAGACGAGGTGGAAGCCGAATTACAGCAAACCAAATCAGGCGGCATGATGGGTAGGAATAAAGTTTAGGAGTTCACTCCCTAAGTTTAAACACTTACAGCAAAGTGAAGTGACTTGGTAAATTTAAGGGCTAGAACTTAATTTCATTGTTCATATGTAGTTAGTGAGGCCAGAGTGAGTTGGGTTTTTTTCCACTGTGGTGAGGCAGGGCTTGGTGTTGTCAATCACCTCGCCACTTATCATACACTGTCACAACATGGAGACGGTTTTAGGAAATATGGAGAATAATAATAAAAATTCTGAATGACGTTAAAGCTACATACAACGGCATTCTGAACAGATATGCTCAGACAATTTTTGGACCCAAGTAAACTGGTTGTTACAGATTTTTGTCTGTCCCTCACATGAAGATGAGTGGTAAAATGTCTAAATCAAGAAAATAAAATCTGCAGATATTTAAACCCAATGTCAGGATTTTATTTATTATTAAAGGGATGGGCATATTGTGACCTATGTATGTGGTGTACTTACCATCAGCTGCCAGTTATAGTCATATGGATGAACCATTACCTTTTTTGAGGTCTTCTTAATGGCTCTGGAAGCTTTGCTTAGTGTGCTATCCATATCCTTAGTGGTGACCTGCAGAGAGTCTGGTTCTGTGCATTGAATCAGATCCTCCTGGTTACAAGACAAAAATGAACACAACTTTAATCTTAATCTGATCAATCTGAACCTGGAGGGTGTGATCAGTGGAGATGGCTACAGCAGAACCAATAGGAAGGGACAAAGCAGCAATAGGATGCAAGGCAGAGCTCACATCCAGAGGGAAATTTGTCTCTGCAGAGGCTTTTTAACCATAGAAGCTCTGTCTTGTTGGTATTCACACTGCAATGCTGACCCAGTGAAAAAGAATTAGGAATGCAGCTGTGCAGCGACACAACGAATGGAAGACAACACCGCCCCCTGCTGCCTGCAGCAGCTTGGTTTCATTTACCAAAGTCAGAACATTCATGTTTCAGTAACAGAAGGGAAAAAAAAATTAAAAAAGGAAAGAAAGTGTAACAAAAAACAAAGCCAGTCCACACCTCTTGATTATAATTCACACAAAAATAATTTATTCATGTATAAGATGGCCTCAACGTAACAGCTGTTGAGTTGTTTCTAAGACTATTCAAACAGTATTCAAAAGTCTACATCCAGTTTGAGAAATGGAGCATTTCTATTGATGTAACTGGAAAAAATAAAATAAATGTTGCCATTTTGTCAGCTCCCAGACTCATGATCTTATCTCACAAATACAAGGAATCAAAGAGTTTCCTGATCATTATTGCCTGTCAGTGTTTACAGAAAGTTCACCTTGTATAACAAAAGTAACACTAAATGTAGAGTTTCCCGCAGTGTTCTGTAAGCCTGGCAGCCCACCAGGCTACGCATTGCTTGTTTTTGTTTTTAGAAAAATTATAAATGAGTGAATAAATGGGGGGACCTAAAAAATAATAGTTTTTTTTTTTTTTTTTGGGATAAATTATTAAGCCAGATTGCAAGCGTCTCTATTGTAAGAGTTTCATTCGTAGAGCATTTATTTCTAAAAGGTTCATGCATTTAAAGCTGGAGAGTGAACCAGTCACACTGCACCTCTGCACGCTGCTTTATTAAGTTTACCTTAACACGGATCCTGCACGGCTCCTTTCACTCGAACTGGACACAGGCTGACCTGTATGGACATTTACATCAACCTAGTGTGGAGAGTTATTTTTCTTTGGAGAACTCGATATTAAGATAAGAGTTTAAAACTAACCATATTAGCGCTGGTTGCACATTTCTGTGAACCGCAGGAATAACTTGTACTCGCATGTCTGTTTGCAAGTATTTGCGCATTGAGTGAGTGGTGAGAATGATTTATCTTTATGGACAGAATTTTGTACGGCGTTTATATCTCAACACTTTGCCAGGAGTGTGGCTCTGTCTTCCCTGTAAAGTTTATGACTATGGTCCCGGTTGGCCAGAGCGTTAGTGGTTAACGAACCAGTGCTAAAATCATCATGCAGGTTCAGCCCAGTGATGAGCTTTTGCGCTTGCCTCGTAGTAACGCTGGTTTTATATTATTTTACATGATGCATTAAACCATACCAAATGCTTTGTCCACTTAGTCAGGCAAAGTTAATGTGCGCAGAGATCTGAAAAACTCTTCACCTAAACTTGAGCAACCATAAAAGTTTCTGTGACTTTTATTAAAAACAGAGGCGAAATGGAAGAGCTACTAAAGCCACATTAGCACCAGTGAATCAAATTTCCTTTTTGTTGCGCATCTGTGCAGTGCAGTGGATTTAACTCATCACGCAGGGTCGGTCGATATGAGGCCTTGAGCAGAATTTGACTTAAACATCAGGACCTCTAACAGCTTCTGTTTTAGATTTAATCTGGGAGAAGGGGAGTAGTTTAATTGGCCAACCTAAAAAGCAATAAATTATAATTGCAGTTTACTCATTTGTATTTGTGAACTAACAGAGCTCAAACTCAAAGATTAAACTCACAGCATAAGATTGTTGCTATGGTAACAAAGTTTACAAAGTAAACTTCCCAGGTCCTTTAAATCTTACATGTAAATGTTAAACAATTTAAAATCTTTTAACTTATCTCTGCTGAAACCATTCTATCAAATTCAGCAGCATTGATCCTCTCAATAAACAAATATCGTATTTTAAAGACTATAAGTCACTCCAGAGTATAAGTCGCACCAGCCATAAAATGCATAATAAAGAAGGAAAATACATATACAAGTCAAACCGGAGTATAAGTCGCATTTTTGAGGGAAATTTATTTGACAAAATCCAACACCAAAAACAGACAAGTCATCTTGAAGGGCATATAAATAGAAGCCCCCCCCACCCTCAGGGTGAGGGACCATATGGAGCCACTGACTGAATTAAACAGAAGTGACAGTCATTATGATTGTATTTTTTTATTAGTTTGTAAGTCTAGTTGTGGATTTAAATATCATTTCACTGGTGATGTTTTCCCGTAACATATAATTACAATAATATTTTTACTTTTCCTGTCTACTTAACATCTTTTAATAAAAAACACGGTAGACTGCCTCGGTGCCCCGACTACCAGGCTTACCAAGTTTTCTGGGGGAAACCCTGAAATGCCATAACAATGTTCTTTTATGCCTTCTTGTATGTGAACAGGCTGCAGATGAACCTGCAGACTGCTTTGCAGTGAAATACTACAACTGACCTTGAACATTTCCACATCCACAACTATCAAGACAGGTTCTAAAATCCTCCAGTTTGATATTAGGGTGAAAGGGGAAAAAACATGACATCAATTTGATCGTGAGAAAAACTTTTTCACTTTGAAATATTGAAAAACAAGTTGCTGAGGATGAGTCATTACAACTCCGCTCTAGTCTCAGTGTGTCGAGTTTTTTCTTCTTAATTTGTGTGTATGTGTGAGAGTGTTTTCTTGGGGGTGACATCTCACCGCATCAGTTCTGCAGATGGTGTTGGCAACATGACGACACAGAGTACGCAGCCAGTCACGTTTAACCGTTTCCTCTCCGGCCAGCTGGAAGCTGAACAACAAGTTCTCCTGTTCGGTGGGGGGCCGGACCACCAGGGCAAATGCATTCACACACTCTGAGGAAAAGAAGGAGAGGCAAACAGGAGTAAAAAACATTCACACTGATACAGACGCATGACAGAGAGTTTAGAATTACAAGGAATAAATTGACAGTACAGATATACCAGTTTAAAAAAAAAGTTAGACCGTAACAAAAGTGTAAACAAGACGCATACTGATGATATAATGGGAGAAGAAGAGCAAAAGCATTGATATGTTAAAATGCTGAGAAACTCTCCAAACTGGGTAAAAATCTAGAGATAGGATTAATTTAAAGTGAAAATGAAGATTCCAGTTTGTAAATGCCAGACAGAAAAACGAAGAACTGAGATTACCATTGGGTATCTGAAGATCATTAATTTCCAGACTATTGAGCACACCTGAAAATAAGCTACACCCAAAGACTTTGAAAAGATAGTTTGACCATAGGCTACACTTATCCTTAAGCACATTGTAATATAATACTTACAAAGCAAGAATTTAACCTATAATGGAAAACATACAGGTGATATGTAACCTGTATGTTATATATCTCTCTCCATGGCTACATCCATTTTACATAATTGAGTCTGACTTTATGCAATGGAAACTAATGGAGTGGCCTCGCAGTCCAAAACATTTCTAAGACTAATTGTATGTTTAGAGTTGGATTCACACGCGAGGTTAATGCTTAATGTGACTCACCTTCAGTGTCATGCAGATCCAGCACCTTGCGAATCTGTGACAGCGGCATGAGAGCGATGTGTTTCAGCGGAGGGGGAGGCCTGGACTGCCCCACTGGACTTTTAAACGTATTGATCACTTTGTGACGCTTCCTGGCAATCTGCAAAGACGCAGTTCCACAAACATGACGAGATAGCAATGCGAGAGAAAAACAGAATCAACTTCAAAGTTGGCTCTGTGTGTGTGCAGCTAGGAGTGTATGAAAAACTGGAGAGGTTTACTTAATAAATCAATTATCCTTTCATGGAGGTAAACAACACGAGTCATTACTGTCACATTAATTACGTGGCCAGAGCAATGACAGGGAGGACAAAAGTCAAAAAACATTACAGGTTGAGATGAAATCAACAGTTGCTTCTGATTGAGGGGACAAGCGAGACCACCCACTGTGAGAGCAGCCAGTCTACATGCAGGCTGTGTGAAACAGCCTATCAGGACGCACATGGAGGGCACCGGCTGATTAAGAGGTGTCTGTCACTCCTGAATCAGCACAGTCTCTCAACTCGTCTTGTCCTTTCTGCTGACCTGTATTAATTAACACACAGTTCCTGTGACCACACTGACAGGCTGGACACACACGGGCTACTCAGGGTCAAACAGAAAGATGCAACTGTTATCTGAGAAAATAAGACAACCAATCAGAACCAGGAAGAGGGACTTAGAGCTGTCAATCCACCTGGTGACCCTCACATTCCCCCCTTGTTTTCTGCTGCTGTACAGCAGGTTCACCAAAGCAGTCTGTTATGAATGCTAAGGCTAGTCAGCATGGCCATCAATGATAAACTGTTTTTCTAGAACACCAAGTTGTTCTTCTACCATTAGCACATATTGATCAGCACTTTAAATAAATATGAAAATGGTAAATATTCACATAGTTCTTTAATGCTTCCACAAAACTCAGCAGTGCAACATTCTGGCATATATTCAACTGAAACAAAGTGAGAAAAATAATCCTGTTCATCGCAGTAATAAAAGCATCTCATCAGTTTGATCCTAGAGTTGTGATTTTTTTGTGTCATGTTGAAAGAAACAGCTGGAAAAATCATTTAAAACCCTTTACAGATGAGTAGGACTATAACATTGGTCAGATATGACAACATATAATGAAATCCAGATTCATTCGTCATCACCTCCAGGCAGTCATTAAAGAGGAAGAGTGTGACGTGTTCGCCGCGGTCACACGGCTCGTCTCCCAGAGCGATGGTTTCCACTCGGTGCACCAGGCTTCGATGGGACGACAGCAGGTTGGCCTGAGAACAGAACGGGAACAACAGGAACAAGTTATGTGAGCTGTGATATACAGCTCACTGCTGCCCACTGCTAGATGCTTTCTACTTGAAACTTTTTCTATTTGTCTTAATAGGTACACTCTACATGTAAATTCGAAATAGTCCATTCTACACATTTGCAACCTGTTGAAATTTGACCCCGGATTCACGTTGAAGGGTAAAAAAGGTAAAAAAAAAATTCCAATTCTGTTTCCTTGCAACTATGAATCACTACACGCACACACTTGCACATACACAAGCCCACTTTCTCACTATTCCATTTACTTCACCAGGAAACTGCGAGAAAGCATATATAACTTTTGACGGGAACCTTTTCTGTTCCTGTGTACAAACTCCATCCACACTGAGTGGACACTCAGTAGAAATGGTAGAAATGAGTAATGCACTCTCTGCATTACTCATTTGTCTTGATTTTAATCAGCGGCTCAATATGAACCCAGAACAGTATATGTGTCTCAAGTTCAATTAAAAAGATCGCCCCTTGAAAAAAAATTAGAAATTGTGAAATAAAAAAAATAAAAGATCAATTTCAAGAATAATTCTTGTTTCTATGTGTGTAGGTTTTTTCAGCTGACCTAAAAAAATATGTAAATTTCATTTTTTATGCCCAAAAAGAGTAAATTGTTGTCATTGATCGTTTATTTATGAGAAATAAAAAAACATAATTGCACAAATATTGACTGAAATGGTTAGTACTGGAATTAATAGTCAAATCCAACAATGTTTTGGAGGATTGTTTTAGTTTCTGACACTACTGCATGACTAAAAATTCCACAGGTCAAACTGACCCAGGAACATTATTGCTGTACCTCAGAAACGAACATAAAAGGAGGACAGACGGCTAAATTACTGTATGATAGAAAACATGCCGACAGCAGCAATCTGCAAACTTACAGGACATCCATCAACTTCATAGACAACATCAAAGATTTGCTTCTGGCCTTCAGTTTTCCTCTTGTCCTCATTGATGTGTCTAGAGTTGAGAGAATAAATAGGAGAATGGCAGTAAACTGGATAAAACAAATCACTTTAATTTTCAAACAAATTTGTAGTCAAATTTTTTCTTTAATAATAAAAAAATGCTTTAAATTAATTGAATATCTGTCATCATCAAAAACAAAAGATGGAAGATTCTCCCATTTTGTAAAAGTGCCATCATCGAACAAAAACATCTGGAGACAGACATCTAACTCTGAACTCTCTTTGTGGGACAACTTCCAATCATGTACTTTGTCCTTGGAAACCAGACTGCAGGTATGAATCCAGTTATGAACCCATGTAAAATAAAAAAAAGCAGGGGATCTGTTTTGTGCATGTTTACTGAAAATGTAATACATTTACAGTACATTTTGGGTACTGTAAATGTGGATACATTGTAACACCTTGTAAACAGAAAAGAATTGACAATTTTATTTTCTACATAACTTAAACTTAGAAAAAGGTTTTTATTTGTAAAACATAATTACACACGTTACACTTTTTTTTTTTACAGAGTAGAATATACCAATATGATTTTAAAAAATTCAGCTTTGTCTTCTAAATATTCTTTACTTTTCGTACTACTTTTGGTACCAGGAATTACATATTTTCTTTCCAAAATTATAATAAACTGGTAGTAGTTGATAATAACTAAGTCATTTTTGTTTAGTTGAAAATAAAATTACAATAAAATAAATCTAGAAAACACCATGTTACAACTGCATCTCGCAGTCATGACATCATGCTTCTTTACAGCGTTTTATAACCACAACCTCATGGAGAATTAATCTGCAGAGAAACAGATAAAATGATAAAAACAAACGTAGACATTGGCAAATGTCTTATTATGTATATAGTTTATATTGGTTTTATTAATAGAATCTGACTAAAACTTCACAGAAATAAAATTTGTACTAGAAAACATTTAATCCTTTATATGAGATATATACATATTAGTTTTATCAAATAGAATTTGACTAAAACTTAAAAAAAAATTAAATTAGTACTAGAAAACAATTCCTAGGTTCCTGGAAAATATATTACCTTAAAGTCTAAGTCGTCATCTACTAATCATCAGCAGATGACCTCTAAACTTATTGGTCTAAATTATTTCAAAAACAGATGAAGCAGCTGCAAAAAAGTTTAGCACACACAAAAAAGTAAAAGGTCACAGTCGTTTGAACTCACGTCATCACTTCTTTTAGGGACTCTATTGCTCTTTCCAGAGTTATCTTGTCTGGGTTGTCATCTGATGTATGTTTCTTTATATCTATAATTAGAATAAAAAGGGAAAGTTTGGGAGAGGCATGCAGGAGGAGACGGAACATCACAGCAACAGAGAGCATGCTCAGAGAACAGATATTAAGTCAGCAAAGAGAACAGGCTGATGGCAGGTGTGGAAGAAGACAAGTCCAGAAATGAACGATAAGCATGGAGGTCAGAGGGAAATATTTTAGCGTGTGTTTTACCACTGAGGAGGAGGGCCACACTTGGTAGTCTCTGCACTGGTCTGATGAGCAGCTCTGCAAGCGTCTGCCTGCCACACTCTGGCTTGGCGTGGTTGATCTGTTAGGTCAACAACAGTTTTTAAATCAAAGTTCAATTAGGAAGACATGAGGGATTAAGTCAGCTTTTTCCAGAAAAGATTGAACCTGATGCCGGATCCAGCCACCATAGGATCAAGATCATTATCCTGGATAACTGTTACAAGAGTAAGCCACCTTCACGAAGAAATTGAAAACTTTAAATGAAGAAATGCACTGCGAGAAAACTGGCTGTGTGATTCGGCCAGTCAGTCTCCTATCTTATCTGAACTATTTCAGTTATAGAGGGAAACTAGCAGAGAGCCAAGGAACCCAAACCTGAACAAGACTGAGAGCAGGGTGTGCTCCCTCATCTCCAGAAGCATGCAGCATTTCAAGAAAAATGTCCTCAAACGAACATTTTCTCGTTTAGCGGGCCTGAACACAACAGGACTAAACCAAGTGAAGACTCACCTTGAGGAAAGCATGGAAGCGGGCCTTCTGTTTTTCACATCGAACAATGGTCTCTTTGCTCATCTCAAAGAAGTTTACAAATGGGGGATAGGTCTTCACTAACTCTTTAGACTGAGCAAAGAGAAATTACCAACAAGTACACATTAAAAAATTCTCCTAGTACAGATTTATTGTATCATAAACAACCAATGCCACTAGAAATATTTCAATATTTGGGGAAAAACATCTTACTCTTAAAAATCTAAACTCACGTATTTGAGAATGATCTCTCCAACACTTCTGCTTTCTGACCAGTCTGTGAGGAGCTCCTCAAGGTCATTCTGGAGAGCAAATATTTCATCAAACATTCAGAAATTCCATAATCACCCAGGAGATAACTATACAAGCTGAAAATCTGGTTGGCAATCAAAAACTACCTTTATTCTGGTGTGAACCTCGTAGATTTCTGGAATGCTGCCAAAAATGGTCTTAATTTCCTCCTGGGCCAAGATGGGTCCACCGACCTGGCCCTCTTTTTCTAATGGATGTTTGAAAAGCTGTAGAGATTATCAGAGAGAAGAGCATGTTTACAGCTGGGAGAACGCTCCCACTCCCTTTCTTCTGCGTTTCACATCACTGTACTGATTTTAACATTTAAGGCAACCTGGAGAAACTCATTGACAGATCTGCCTACCAGGTCACATCCTCATGGACAATATTCACCCCACTGTTGCCAACTTAGCAACTTTTTCACAAAATTTAGTGACCTTTCAGACAATACATAAATCAGTCATCAGGCTTTTTAAAGATCGGTGAAAAGTCCGGAGACTCACAGAGAGAGAGAAGCAAAACTTTATTATGGGATTTTCTCTGCACTTGACTTAGATTAGAAGTGAAATGTTCAATTGTGCATTATTTCATAAACACAATTCACCCCTTGTTAAAATTATACATTTATTATAAATAGTACATATCAAAATTTACTTTAGTAAAGCAGAGCTCTGAGCTTTGTAAGCCTTTTCATACTAATGGATCGCAACATGAGGTTGCTTTCACATGTTTCAGTTTAACTGATGTTCTAGTTTATTCATGATAAATGAACTGAACATTCCTGGTAGGCAACCTGCAATTAAGTCCCAGCTTCCGGAAGATTGAATCAAACCTGCAACCTTCCAACATGGAATCTCCAGTAGAGTACTGTACTTTGGTTATCTTAATCTGATATTAATATTTAACTAATTATCTGAAAAATAATTTATGTGGGTTGAATAAAAATAACTGCAAGATACAATAATATTTGAAGGGAGAACTAAACTTTGCATCATGTACAAAATAATCCGGGATAAATTTGAATTATTTCCCAAAAACATGAAAAACATAAGCAGAGGTTTTATTAAAGGATTCACAGGAAAAAGAATCAGGGTCACCCTGGTAGCCAGTGTGTGAAGAAAAGTTGGAGCTGCTGACAGAACACCCACCTGCAGGACGGTGTTTAAGATATCTACATAGTTGCTTTCGGTCTGATAGAGCTCCTTGGAGACCTGCCACCTGGCTGACTGCTTGGAAACCACTGGAGTTGAACTTTTGGAAGGTTTTGAGCTCTCTGTAGGAAGACAAAATGTTTTTTTAACAGGACAAACTTCCAGATGTCTTGTAAACCCTTTTGAATTAACAGAACTTCCAGGTTTCGCTTTAAACCTTGTCATATAAAAAGAATTATGAAGCGTTCATATACCCATTTCAGGACTCGTTCAGCTTCTAACATAATACTCAGTAAAATCAGACACCTGCTATTTTTGATAACTCTACAGTATTTTTCAGACTGACGACCTGTCCAGGATCCACCTGTCGCCTGAAACGTTCGCTGAAGATGGGAAACAGCATCCCTCCTGACCCCACTGAGGACAATGGTGTAAGAAAATGAATGGAAAACTTGGGAAGCAGTGTGGTTAGATCTGAACTGCCCAAGAAATTTAAGTCAGAAAATCCAAGCCAAACTGCATTTGTTTTCTGGATAGTGATCTCTAAACACATGGCTGTTGGCTCATCACAGACTGAACCTGAAAACAGAAGCTAACCTGCACATGTTCCTTGCTGCTGATCTTCAGACGTTTGCTGACCAGCACTCCGGTGGGACCTTTTTCTCCTCCTTTCCCTGCCTGACCTAGACCTCCTTTCTCCGGTTTTCCTTCTTCTTATCCTAGCCCTGGTCACAGTACTGTCCTCTAATCTGTCTTCTGGAATAAAGAGGGGTGGGTGTGATTGTCTTTTGACAATGAAAAAATTTATATCTGTCTGAGTTATTTTATGTTCTCCTATAGTTGACAAGGAGCATATTGATTAGATTCTCACCTCCTAAAGCCTTGCAGGTTTCAGGGGTGTTGGAGATGTCCAGCAGAGAGCCAATGGACAGAGAGTGCTCTGCAGACGGCCTTTTACGTGGTGGCGGAAAGGGGGAAATCTCCGTTTCCTTGGTGAGCTGAGCGAGGGTGTCCCTGAGACGCCGGCGCTTGCGGTTGGAGGTGGGGGTGGTGAGGGACAGCATGGACACAGCTTTCTTCATGGTGGGACTGTCATTCTGCAGCACAGCAGTACAGATCAGCAACTTGTCAGTTTACATCTGGTCTATATTGTGGCAATGAGTTCTTTTCTAATATTTATTAAAGTGTGTGAGAAATTAAACATCCTCACCTTCTCATACAGGTACATGGATTCCCCAGCTCGAGCATCCATCTGAATGCTTCCCCAGAACCACTTCAGCACAGAAACAGCCATTATAAACATAGACATGAAAACTCAGACCACAGCCCTCAGTTCATTACAAACAGGAAGGATGAACAGTTTGCATTAATGCGGTTTAACAACAGTGAAGAAAAGCTAATAAAGCTTTTTTTAAAAAGAAAAAATAAGATGTGATAGAATCTTAAGGCACTTTGCAGAGGACTAGAGATGAACAGATCTGATCATTTTAGTGTACTGTACTGGTGCAGTTACCAAACAAATGTGTAATTCAGTATCTATGTTGGGTTTAACAAAAAGAAAGTCAGCTCAGCTCTAGTTTTCTGAATGAGAATACATCAGCCAACACAAAACCTAAGATATCAGTATCGGAAGTGAAAACGGTGAACTGGTGCATCCCCTTTATATTTTTTTGTTAATGATTGTGGACATGAAAAGTCATAAAAATGATAAAATCTCATGTATAAATGTAACAAATTGTTTTCAGGAGCTGAAATAGACTGCATATCTGTCCATGCTTGCCCACTAACCGCTAAAGACAGACACCAGCACTCCTCTCGCCCCCAAGGGCAAGTGTGTCAGATAATAATAGATAAGATGTTTTCAGCAAATGTTGTATTGCAGTGCGTTGCAAAGTCAAATTAACTACGTAATCGGTTGATTACTGTAGATTCCCCAAAGTGGACAGAGTAGTAATTATTTACTAAATTAGACTTTCCATTGAAGTAATACACAAAAACATTAAGAGCTCACCTCCTGTTTGACCACAAAGAGTTTCTGGGAGGGAGAAACTGGCAAATCCTTCACAGAGTTCTCCTCCACCACCATGTGTGTACATTGGTCATCTCCAACCTCAGCATATCGGCCACCTGTCACACACACCGCCATGGAAATCCATCCATCAGAGTGAATGTTGAAACTTTATTACATTATTTGCCAATAATGTAGCTCTATCATATAACTTTCTAAAACTTAAGCAGGTTCTAATTTAACTCTATCCAATGCTATGAGCCACACTGGCACTGTAGTCACCTCTGGAAGACAGAAAGTTCAGGTTTTCATTCAAAGTGAAAATGTTTATGAACTAATGATCCACCAATGCAGCGGAAAACCAAACAGCAGCATATTTATATTGACTGCTGGAGCAAATTTGCAACGTTTTGTGGCATTTTCCTTTTTGCTTCTTTCTTTTGTGTTTGTAGCATTTTTCTGTTTCATTTGTTCTTTATTTTTTGTGTTTTTTAGTTTGCATCACTCACATCTTTGTAGCTTATTTTGCCATTTGCTTAATTTTAGTTGGTATGAAAGTCAGCTTCTAAAATATCCTACTTCAGACTTTGTGAAAATATTATGTGTGTAATGTGGGGAACTGGTCATCCTGAGAAGTGTAGCTGACTTCACTGTCAGAAACACATAACTCTGAAGTTCCTGTATAAACTATAATGTTATGCGATACCATGTGGTAAAAAAATAAATAGATAAAAATCATTCCCAAAAACGTTTTCCAAAACAAGATGCTTCTGAGATGATTTTTACTTTATCCAGTAGCACAAAGTACTTCATCAGAGAAAATCCTTAAACAATATCTTTGGTGATTTACTATACTGTGTGAGTAATCCATTAAAAAAATAAAATAAAGTAAATAAATTTCAAGCATAACTTTGCTAAATGTAAGAAAATAAAATTTACAGGAGAATTAAATCACTAACCATGTTTAAGAGTCCTCTCCTCCATGTTGAACTTCTCTTCCTCTGAGAAACCCAAAAAACTTAGGATGCAGTTCTGGAAGGGAGGGACTTTGAACTCTGTTCGGAAATCCTCATCATTTGCATGAAAATGACTTAATGAAGAAGAATGAGAGAAACAAGGATGCTCAGGACTGTTTGTGAAACACATTTTCAGCATTTGTGTTTATTTCAATCCTATGCTGATTTTTTTCATATTTGCAAACAATACATGGGCACTAACGACGGTACTGGCAGATATTAGTAATTTTTTACAACAATAATGTCAGTCTGATAAATAAAACTCAATATTAAAAAATGATATTTATTACTATTTTGTTGATTGTTTCTGGATAGGGGAGTTAGTCATGTGATATTTGTCTGGTCATATAACAGTGATACAGCAAAGGATTGTGGGGTGTTTAACTGAAGCAGAGAAGAATTGGGGAAATCACTATTGTGTGGTTGTTTTTTGCAAGGTGTCAAAAAAGTAGGAAAATATAATATCAGTAAAAATCAATTAGTGGCCATTACATCATTATCAATGTTCTCTTTTGGCTCAAATTTTCATAATAGCGCATTGCTACTTTATATTGTGGTGATAAGCTCAAAAGAAACTTGGTGTGATTATATTCATACGGTCGTCTTTTCATCTTCTTTCAGGATGTATAGGTTTATTTCAAGCACAGTCTGGGCTTTCTCCCCTTTGCTTGGTTTTCTCCTGTAGATTTTTTTGACCAGACCAATCAGCAAACAGGAGAGGTTGTGACAATGATGTTGATTTTCTTTCCTGCTTTAGAATTGTAGTTTGCCTATTAGTTTAGCAATGGCAACAGAGGAAGACAACGAAGATGTCCAGTCTATGTGTCACTCGTCCAAATACTGAACTAACATTAACAAGCACCTTGCTCAGATCAGCACTTCCCTCTTCACAGTGGAGGACGGATGTTTACAGTGCAGGACATTTCCGGTAAGCTTCATAACATCAAACTGACAAATTACATATTATCACCGGCAAACGTTAGTAAGTGGGTAAAATTAAAAAGTTCCACGGAGTCCTCTGCTCCAGGAAGCAATTGTTTCTCAACAGCCTAGAGCCCAGAAAAAGCAGATAGTGTAGGACAAGTTACTGGTTTTTACCAGGCTAGTGGTGTTAAAACATGATGTTTGACTCACATATGGTCTCTTTTTTCCCATGCCTTCTGTATCCAAGATGGAGAAAGAATGGGAGTTCCCATACACACTGCCAGCTGAGACAGAAAGGGAAGAAAAAAACCATAAGCTACTGGTGTAGCTCATTATAACAGCTTCTGGTTCTGTTTCATGCATCATAAGCACAACAACTTTCTCCTCCAGGTGCAAAACAAAAGAAAAAGAAAAACAATTTATGTAGATAAATGACGGTTCATTTATCTTCAGAAAACTTTACCAACTACCATTAGTACTATTGCAGGTGAAAAACTATGTATTATGCATTGATTTAATGACCGATGTCTCATAACAGCATCAAATAAAGAAGAAGTACCCACCAAAATAAAAGTCTGGTAATGTCAAGAAAGTGTCAAATATACTGAAGGAAAAAACAGACTTAAAGACCATTACTCTAACATCCTGTCAAGTCTTGAAATATTTTTGAGGAAGCTCAGGCCCCAACTGCACTGCTGTGGGTTACCTTTTTAAAAGTTCCTATTTGTCAAGTCTGAACAGAAAGAAAAACTAAATCTCTAGTTCAGAATTCTTGGGGGGGAGGGGTTTCTCATATTTGGATGTGTAAAGGACAGAGTTTTAAAGATTTTTCACATTCTTCCATCTTGGTGGTGAGCTCTAAGTACCATTTCATATTTCCATAAACATTAACTACAGCAAACTAAATTCAGAAATATCCGATTGCTAAGGGGATTCACAAAAAATATGTCTACTTTGTGCCTTCTACCACAAACTGAACACACATTATTATACACATATTTACACGCTGGACACAAATATGATGTTAGAAAATATGTAGGAATGTACAGACCCTGTATTTCTCTCCATGAGTGGAGTAAGCAACAAGATGAGTGACCTTGGCACTGAAGTCTTTCCGGATTGTTCCACCCATGTGATGAACCAAATTCACCAAGCTTTTCTGCAAGGCAATCATAAACATTAATATCAGGAAATGAAATATTGAAATTGATTCCACATACACAGAACTGGAACTTAGGGGAGCAACAATAAACTGCCTAGCCAGTCAGCCCCAATTTTGGGAGATTGGCTGAGACATGAGAAGCTGATCTTATCTGCCTCCACAAAGGCCTAAAAATCAGCCACAGTGATCAGTCAAAAAGCTGAAATTGATGCACCACTACCTGCAATAGCTAGAAATTTGATGACAGGAGCATTCAAAGTTTATGGTTTCCACACATGACTAAACCTTTTTTGATGCACAAAATTATTCTCACCATTTCCTCCTTGTTCCTAAAGCCAGTTAAACACAGCGACAGGTTCAGCATGGCAGTGCAGTAAAGAGGACGGCATGAAAAATGGAGTGGCTGCGGAAAAAGGACTAAAAATCAGCCATTGAACATGAATAATTCTTGCAGGAGTGAAAAGTTCTGACAAGAAATTGTTTTATGACAATCCTAAAATCTTTATCAGAGAAAAAAAAAACAAAAATAAAAGCTTCACACTCAACTTTCTGATGCTCTGACTACTGAAGAGTAAATGTTGCGAAAGTTTATGGTGGATATTTCAATAGTGGTCAGTCTTTAATTATGAAACCTGGAAAAAAAAAAACCTTTATGACAGAAAAAGTATGGATAAGGGAAAAAGGAAAGAAATGACTCAGTGAAAAAAAGATGGAAGGCAATAGAAAGGAAAGCTCAGATACATGAAAGGATGAAGAAAACAAGAAGATGACAGATAAAGAGAACAGACCAGGAAAGACAGGAAAAATGAGGAAGAAGGGAAAGGACAAAGACTGAAGGTAACAAAAAAATGAAGAATCTGGAAAGAAGGAAGAATGCAATGAAATACAAGACAAAAAGGAAGACATTTTAAAAAGCACAAAAAGGAGGAAGGAAGGAAAGAAACAAAGATAGCAGGACTTAATATATTGAAATACAAACATTTGTTTGCTTTTTTTCTAAACTAATTCAGCCCTGGAAAACGTTGAAAAAAAAAATCTAGTTTTTCAGACTGTACAATCCTGTAAAATGAAAGCTAATCAAGTACAAACTCTCCCAGCTTCTTTTCCAAATCCAGGATAAAATAACCTTGCTGTTGATAAAATACTTACCTCTTCCTGAGCAGCGCAGCGCAGCACGACAGGAGGCCCAACGATGCGGTTCTCATGTTTGTAGAGGTAGATGTAGTCAGGGGAGCTGAAGTCTGTGAGGACAAACACCCTCTCAAAGTCTGTGTTGTCTCCATCTGCAAATCCCTGGACGTTTTCCGTCTTTATGAACGGTGTGTTGATATCCTGAACAGGAGGGATTGTTTGCAGAGATCAGAGCACAAAAATAACACTAACAAAAAAAAAAAAAAAAAAAAAACATTAAAAATAAAAATTTATCAGTTTTGAGTCTTGTTCACCATGTTAATCAGGCTTTTCTTTTATGGGTATTTACTTGTCAATATCCATTATATTAATAGTATGACAAAAAAAAAAACTAATGAAATGATTAAACCCTTTCATTAGTTAGATCATTTATTTAATGTCAACAAATCTTGATAAAAATAAATTGAGCGTCAAACAGCAGATTTTAGACATGGACACAGAAAGCATGACCTCTTCCTCCCTGCATGCACAGGATTTATTGAAATCCTGTGCAACACAGGATTTCAATAAACAATTTCATTAGGTTTTCAAATGTTTCCCCCACCTTCCCAGATCTTTAATCCATCAAGGAAACAGGACTAATAGTCTCCATTGCACCATTACTCAGTTTTATATACTGAATAGCATTCAGCACTGGTGAAAACAATCAATTGCAACAGTGAAAATGAGAGTGTCGAGTTTCAGCTGAGCTGTTTAAATCAATGGTCACATACTAACTGCCAGACTGAGTTAGACTCCAGCATGGTGAACAGGAGGAAAGGGTTCATGCTGCCATACTGTTAACCTGGTTAGAAAACAAACAGGGACATTAAACAATACAAATTCCACATGGAAACAGAGAATGGAGGAAAATTATAGGAAGCTATGAATTGGCAAAAGTTATTACATTGTTACAGTCTGCACCAACATATTACAGTTGCAGAACACAATTAAAAAAAACATCATCATGTGTTTTACCCCTGCAACACAAGTTTGGAACAAATAAGGACAAAAACTGACAGGAAAAGCTTGTTAACCAGAGCCATAGTTCATTCAAAAAAAAAATTATGTCAAAAGTAAAAATAATAAAACTGCAGTGTTTGTTCTTAAGCTGACTCGAAATAAGACAAAAACATTTAAAAGCAGAAAACTTTAGCCAATGAAACAAAAAAAATATTCAAAATAGATAAGTTATTACTTTTTTTTTTTTTAAGTCAAAGCATCTTTTGAAAAATTGCTCTAATCAAATTTACAGGAATTTCTTTAGCTCTGCCCTCTGCCTAAGCTGGTAAACAACAGTTTTAAAAAGTGGTGAGTCTCAATTAAATGTTTAATATATTTGCAGGGTCTAATTGATTAAATTTTAATTGAAAAAACACAGACAAAAAAAAAAAAACATTTTCAATTCAAAACTCCTTTCTGCTGCTAAATTATTGAGTAAATAGATATAAGTTCAAAGATATTTATTGTTTTTAAATCTGTTTCGCTATCAGATTGGATCAAAGTTCTACTATATTCATTCATTTTTCCAGAGTTTTGGGAACTCCTGATCATTCATGGAACTTCTTTGGAAATGTTCCATCCCCAAAGCTATTGTCTGCAGATGCGGACAATAGCTTTGGGGATGTCTGTGCTGCTGCTACATGTTTAGCATTGAGATGCTATTTTAGGCTTGAATAGCTTTGCTGACAGGCTAAATTCTTATAGCACAATAGTCTTCTCTAGTATCTAATCAGATTATTTGTAGAACCAGAAACTGACCCCCAAGAGAAGCTACTTTGTCACCCATCACTATTGATATGACCCAATCAAATGTACTTCCTCTTCTTTTGATCAATTAACTGAATAAAAAAATTAAACAAAAACAAATCATTCATAACTTAAATGTAGATCTAATAATACTAACCACATTTAAATAAAAGTACTTCATAGTAATTTATTACTGCAGAATTACACTCTGAACTTTGAACACTTTTTTTGCACTACAGTTCAATCTCAGCTATGAAACCTGAACACTTCTGGGTTTATCAATGGATAAATAAAAACTATTCTATTTAATGGTCCTATTAAAAGTATTCACCACCTGCAATGTTTTTGACAAAAATTGTCTTCTCTCCCTTTTTACTAAAAAACAATAATCAGCATGAAAACTTGTCACTGGCAGCTTTAAAATGTGGATTTTTGAAATTAAAAATGGTAAGTTGCTGCTCAAAAGATCTAAACCGAACAAAAAATCTGGACTACCGCTTACGATGAATTTGGCATTTGACCCATCACCCTATCATTTGGGCAAACACTGACACCATTATCGAAAATAATTTCTGCTCAGCTTTTCTTTTAAAAAAATTAAAAAGTTGCTTTGACTTGGTTGTGAAAGTACACAGAATTAATTTTAAATATTCACCCACAAAGCTGTTCAGCACCGGTAAGTTAATCATGCAGTGATTGAACGAGTAACCAGTATGAATTAAGGGTCATGCAGCACGTCCCAACATCCCATCAAAGTGTCAGAGAGTCATTCACACATAAAGGCAGACACTGTACTGTACCATATTGACTATAGATTTTATCATCATTTTCTCCTTGGAACCCGCATCGCCTTCTCTTATCTTTACCACAGGTACCTCCATTACTCTGATGGCCTGGAAAAAACCAACCAGCAGGACATGGAGGTCAAACACTGGCATTTAAAAAAAAAAAGAAAGAAAAAGATCATAACAAAAGATGGGAAAATATGAAAGCTGAGAGAAAATTGCAGAAGGGCAAGGACAAATTACCGCCATGTGGGGACAAAACCACAGTAAAAGATGGGTTTCTGGACACAGCGAGGGGCAGGTGTAAGAAGATCTTTATCTTTGCAAAGTTTAAAGATGGCATCTTCAAACAAATATCACACACCTGAAGAAGGATGGACGAGGAGCAAAAGATCATCCTGTTAAAAATGTATATGATGTTCAAAGTCTCAGAAGGGAGGTGGAGAAAAGAGAGAGCTATTGATTTGTTCTTGGCTCTGCTGATCTACAAATCTAAGAATAAACTGCAGAAAAAAATAAAAACCTTAGGGAGAAAGGAAAGGTATGTCTTTTCTTTCAAATGCAAGCTGGAGGGAACCATAGAGGACTGGCAAGTTGGGCAACCTTCTCCGTTTCAGTGTGAAGTGATTTCCATAGAAGCATAAGCAGCCAAACCAGAGGACAATAAGGGTTTAAGGTAATTATACCTTAAACCTTTCTACCGGCTTTCCATGGCTGTGGCTTTCACCAGTTATTCCTTCATCAGTCCCAGCCAGATTCACAGAGGGACAACTATAGAGGGAAAGAGGGGTACAAAACCAAAAGTAGCCTGGTACCGAGATTGCTTTAATTGACCCGTCTCACCATCTCAACCAAACTGATCATCGCATGTTAGACCTGGAAGGCCAAATTTTTTTTTATAAATTAAGAAGACCAAATACAACATCAGCTGGATGGAGTAACCTGCAAAGAACAGATGCACCAAGAGATTTTGGAGAAACTGGTTGCCTAAGGGGACACGTGCAAAATGACATCATCAGAGCGACAAGCACAGCTCCTGCATGCTCACAGCCCACCAACGTTCCTGCCTATACTCATCCCCATATTGAGAGGAAGAAACTGCTAATGGAAACACACCCAACTCTGCTACCACCGAACTAGACATTAGCTGGCTAGAGTGGGATTTGGCAATGGAGGGGTTCGACCGATTTATCGGTGCCAATTTCCTTCATTTTGGAAGATCGATGATCATCTGAATGCATTCAGATGATACATTCTGAATGCATTTCATTCCATAATCACTGAATGGAAAGAGGACTGATGTACCTGCAGGGCTTTCACAAGAGCTTCATTTCTGCCTGCTTCTCCCACCAGAACAACTTGTGTCTCCACTTTGGGCAACATATCTGAGAAAGAGCAGAAGCAAAATTAATATTCAACCATTTTCTATCAAAGTAACAAACAAGTACCAATCATTTGGCACGAAGACAGTGACAAAAATTCTGTCCATAAATGAAAAACTTAAAAGAAACATAAAAAAGCAAAAATCAACTTATTGTAATGGCACGTGGAAGAGATGAATCTTCACTTCCAGTATTGCAATCAACAGATCAAACTTAAAGCTTCATGCTTTAGGAGAGCCAATTGAATGTTCTCAAATTTCAAAATAAGCATTTCCACACAGATTGCTGATATTTAATTAACCCCATTACTAGCAGTGCACCGATTGCAGTTTTCTGGGTTAGGGTTAAGTAATTAGGCTACTCAATTACCGATTTTTTAAAAAGCTTAACCTGCTGATTTCGATTTTGGTCAGTACCTATTTTTTTTTGTCAGAAATGTTGCTCTAAAATCTCCCGAGGTGTGAGTGTGCGTATCCAAGAAAGTGGTTGAATTGGCAACAGTGAGCTCACTATTATTTATAAATATGCTGACATAACTTGGTGGGCCAGTCTGCCAGTCAAACCTTTCTACCGGAGAGCAGAAGAGGAGAGTGGTTGATTCTTAGCTCTTGCCAAGCCAGATAACATCAGTGGATAAGATCGGCTTCATATGTAAAAATCGGCCAATCACCAATCTCCCAAAATTAAGGAAATCGGCACTGATAAATCAGTGCATCCAATAACTGCCATGAGAACAATATTGTATGCATACAATGACTTGTATGCAAGTATTTTTGGGCTGGCAGATAAGGGTTAAGTAAAGTCTATTCTAGCAGAGACAAAAAGTTAGGACCCCCTACTTAGTTCAACCTCTTAGGTGGAAATAACCTGAGTGTGTGGAGCTGACCCATTTATCTTAGTCAGCTGTGGGATGTTTGAGGGGATTCTTGCATGTACAGCCCGCTTCATGTCCCCCTTCTTGATCAAGATCCTGGTTGACTGACTGCATGTCTTTATTCTCAGCCCACCCACAATGGATTGATTTGGGTCACTGAAGGACCCAGTTCTGCTTCAGCTTGAATCTTTAGACAGAATATATCAAATTTGACCACAAGGCCCCTCTGATTCACTATGGATTAAATGATGGTGGTTGCCATAAGATTCTGTATTTTCTTACTGCTTATATTACTCAATATTGTTAAAATTTATATTTAATATTGTATTAGGGATTCACTAATAAACTAGGCCAATATTATTTATACATCTACGTTTAAGAAAATGGCCATTTATCAGTTAATCATTAGTCGATTACTAAAATAAATCACCTTTAGATTAACTCAATTGATAACTTCCATCCTAAAGAGATAGACATGAACCAGTTCTGCAAAAGTCTGAAAATCAGCCCTCCCCTTTTACTATGTCATGACAAAGGACTGAAAAACAGATGCGACCACCAGGTGATATCTGCATTATCAATGGTCACCATACTGTGACTTAGCATCTTTTGTCACTAAATTTAGGGGAGAAAAAAAATCTGAACGGGCTGCACAGTGGTAGCACTGTTGCCTTGCAGGGTTCGATTCCCGGCCCAGGTTCTTTCTGCACGGAGTTTCCATGTTCTTCCTGTACATGCGTGGGTTCTCGCCGGGTACTCCGGCTTCCTCCCACAGTCCAAAAACATGATTGTCAGGTAAATTGGTCTCTCTAAAAGTGTGCATGGTTTTGTCCTGTCCGTCTCTGTGTCTCTGACCCCATACAGAAAATGGAAGAATGGATGGAAATAAATCTGAGTCAGCAGATCAGGCTTGATAAAAATTGTAATCAGCCAGAAAACAGCAATCGATGCACCTCTGCTAACATCTGTTCAGCCCAGTGCTGTGCTGCATCACAGACATAAACAGCAACAAGATGGAAATAATGATTATCAATATCGGCCCTGTTTTAGATTGATGTGTTAACATTACTAACAAGCCAATACGTTGATGCTTATTATCACAATATGTTTTTCTAGACAGTTCTAGAAGTTATTGCAATAAGCAAGGATATTGTTGTTTTGAGACCATTTTCAAATAACATATGGAATAGTAATAGTAATTTTCAAATAACATATGGAATAGTAATATAAGAAGATTCTCAAACATCAATATGAGAATTTAACACTAGAACTGGAATACATTTAAATCCAAATTTAATAAACAAAACAGAAGCAAGAAATAAAATGAATTAAGAAGTCTCAAAAAAATTGCCCTAAAAACTTTAGTCTTCCAGTCTATGGTAGACAGAGAGAGAGACAAAAGAGAAAAACAATACATCTTTGAGCTTTAATTTATCATGTGTTCAACTGATTTATTGCAAAATGCTTAATGCTTATATGTCATGGATCTTTAATTTATATGTCCAAAGATGTTTGAGGCACACACAAGTCAGGGCAGCATGTGACAGCCGGTAGAGCAGCAATTCACCTCAGAATCTTTGCCACATGTTTCCACCCTTTCTGTCTGAAGCGCCTATTAAAAGCAACAAGCACCATAAATCTCTAAATCACAGGGTGTCCGAATCTTTTCACACACCACTAACAGTTCTATTTATTCAATGTTTCTGTAAATTTCCAGATCACACAGTGGGTATGATGAATAAAGGATATGACAGGAATTTGAGAGTCCTGATCTTCACTCGGTTATGCACAATAGAAAAATAAAATATCAGGCATCCCAGAGAAAAACAGAACTAGGATAAGTAGCATCCGCTGTCAGCTCTCACTCACCTTCCCCATCTTCACTGGTCATCCCCAGGAAGCACTGGTCCTTAGTGGTTTCAACAATCCTGGAGTCATACACTGAAGAATCCACCAACAGACTCCGGGCATGCCCCAAAGTCAGCATGCTGCTTTCAGCCATGGCAGAAACCCTGTGATGTTCAAACCTTTCAGGGAGAAAGAGGAGATATATTTTGCTTTGCAGCAGTTCATAAATTGATTTGGTGAACTTTAAATAGCGAGGGAAAAGAATGGCGACATACATGCATTTTAGAATAAAACAGCAAGAGAAATAAAAATAACATGAGGTAATAGTTGATGCATGCTAAATAATGAAATTGCTTAGTCAGCGGCTATACAGAAAATGAAATACGTATTCAATATCTTAAATCTTAATAAAAAGCAGACCTACAGATTACCTTCGATTAGGTCTCTAGCTAACTTAGCTAACTGCTGGGTTGTAAAGATAACGAGGTAGAACTCAATTATCTCCGGTTAACGTCTCTTCAAACCAGTTCGTGAGGTTCCCCAAAGAAAAGCTCCAGCACCAGTCAGTGCATGTTGTTCCAAAACGGTAAAAAGAGTCTAATAAGCTTTTCTGTTCGCTTACATTTATTTACCTAAATGAAATTGTCAGTGTTCTGTTAGAGCTCAATTCAAAAATGAAGGCAAACAACGGAGCTGCGTATTGATTGGTCTGGAGTGACGGAACGCCTTCTTGCTTCCGCTTGGCGAGTCTTCTGATTGGTCCGTTTGTTTAAATTCACAATACACAGCTTATACGCGACAGTCTTGTTACATTCAGGTGCTATCGTAAATATTTTATCAATTACGTTACTGTATAAAGAGTTTATTTAATTTTACCTAATTTAGTTAAATAACACCCAGCAGTACTAATCAACGAAATAATCGATTTGATTTCTTTATTATGGTAAATTATCAACAGCGAAAGTAAAAGCTATCTCCATTCAAAGAATTAAGCATAATTATTATTTTTGAAAAACAAAGCATGAGACTTACCTCAGTGCTCAAACCAAAACAAATGATAGATCATTTTTAGAATCATTAATGCCATTGTTGTTCCTAATATTTAATGAAGCACAATAAACAGAATGCCCCAACTGGGTCCACTGGTTTCAGTCTTTTCTGTCGAACAGAACATTTAGGTCAACCAAACCTTGTATGTGATCAGTCTCACCCACAGCCTGCAAGGAAGAATAAGTGGGGATAGATGGATGGATTGTATTTCGTACACTGTTCATTCCTTTGTTTTGAGATTAATATTGTTTCATTTTTGTATCAGTTTATTTTAGTGCTAATTTTTGGTTTAGAAGTTCATTTGGAGTTTGTGTTTATTTCTGTTACTTTGTAATGTTTGCTCAGTTACCCAACCAGCTCTTAACCAAGCTGATCTGCATCCACATGGTTAGTCTCAGCTGATTCTCGTTTCATTCAATATCAGACTGGACCTAGTGTTTTGTTGTTGTTGTTGTTGTTTCCTTCTTCCATTTGACTCCTGCTATTTTCTCAGTATGCTTTTCACATTCCTGAGCTGTCAGATTTTGGTCCATTCACCACTCTGACATCCACAGCTCTTCCTCTTCTACATCTTTGTGTGTTCAGTCCTCGGGAGGGCTCTCACTCTGGAACAAAGCTTTGTCAGGAAGTCCTCCAACCTTTGTTTTCTCTGCTCTTCAACGCTCTGTCACCAAGGACCAACAAATACAATTACTCTTGGTTGAAACTCCAGCAATGCTACTCAGAGGCAGGTGGGGTGGGGGATTACAATAAATCCACTGATATATTTTGCTTTGCAGCAGTTTATAAATTGATTTGGTGAATTTTAAATAGCGAGGAAAAAGAATGGCGACGCATTTTAGAATAAAACAGCGAGACAAATAAAAATAACGAGGTAATAGTTGATGCATGCTAAATAATGAAATTCTATGCTTAATCAGCGGCTATACAGAAAATGAAATACGGAGTCAATATCCGTATTTTTCCTCGAAATTCTGTCTTGTGTGTATTGATCATTTTAACATTATCTAAAACTAAAGGAGCTGAAGGCAGTAGCTCATTAAGTTTGGGAAAATGCTTGTATGCTTGTAAATATTGTGTTAAATAATTTTCCCACCACATTTGTATCGGATTTTATCAAGTCCAAAGGACTTCAAAACCCTTCAGTCATTCACACATTCACACACTGAAAGCTGCTTTGGGGCAGTCTGACAGAGGAGAGGATGCCATGCACTGGTGCCACCTGTTGGCGCCAGTAGATGGCAATAGTTTATATGTTGCTACATGCAAACTAATTGAAAGCATAAAGTACTCCTTTAAAACACTTTAAGATCTACAAAACAGTGTTCGATTTAAGATTAAAATCAACAACCCCAGTTTCATTTGCAGGAAGCCAAGACATACAGTACATGCTGAGTTTCATTATGTACATTATCAAGTTGTCCAGTTAATTAAAAAAGGATTATTTATTTTCCTCACACATTTAAAACAATAACAAACTAGCATATAAAATATTATTTTTCTGACACAGTAAGATAATCTTTCTGATTTAATCATGAAGGCCCTGCTCCAGTGTCCAAGTATTCCTTTTAGAGTTCAAATGTAGTTTGAGTTTTTAGTTTATACTAAAGTCTCTTTTTCGCTCTTGAGTTAAAATGTTTTGGGGGGTTTTAATAAGAACCCTTACGTATGTGTTCTGATGTAAATAAAATATATGAAAGCTGTGATTATTTGAGACCAGACAAGAAGCATTAAGCATTTTGGATCAATGAAAAGCAGATAAAACAAACTGGCACTGGAAAGGCAGAATACATTATGCATTCAATCCTCTCTTCCTCTTCAGAAGGATCACAGACCCGGCTGGAATGGCACTCCTCCGCATTTCCAGAGAATTCATGAATCATGAATTCTCTGGAATTCATGATTCACCCCCCTCATGATCAATGACAGAAAAACAGATATCCACTGATATCTTTTATGATTCAGTAGCAATCCTTTACATTCTTTTCCTCAGTAGCCAACTCACAAGACTTTTATTTGAACACAGTCTTGCATGATTACAATACAACCCTACATTCAAACGAAGCAGACATCGTGAGTCTTCGGATTGATCATTTATCTGTCTTGATAAAATCTCGTCTCAACAACTCTCTTCTTATTGTGCTTTAACATCAACCTGCCAATGGGACTAAAGATGGAAACAAGCCAGCTGACTATAATCTTATGCATTTGCATGTTCATATCTACATATTGTGCCAGTTTTGAAAAGTAAACTTGAGAACTTCACAATAATGTGGAGAATTGTGTCTCTTTTTGTTTCATTGATCCAAATGTGGAAATGGTGATTCCTAGCTTCACCAGTCAATATTGTTCAGTCCAGTGATCACTCTGTGGAATCAGCTTTATCTCAAAGGTTCCAAGTGTTTGCTAAAAACTGCGAGAGCAAGCGTTTAGGCACCCTAACGGATTCCTCAGACGTACATGAAAGAATCAAATGAACACTCCAAGTATGCTTTTGATGATATGGAATAACATTAAGTCTTTTTTTGTAATGTCTGTAAAGGATCAATTGTAATGCTTGGTGTGGAACAGAGTAAGGGGGATCCTTAAAAAAACTAATTCAAACTTCTTAATCCGATGCTCATAAAAGAAGATATAAGCGGCATAATGAAGGAGAATTGTTGTGATGATGTGCTGAAGGCAGAGTGTTGGTAAGAGCAAGAGCTTTTTAAATAGACAGAAACCAATTTCAAGGTGTGTAGCTGGGATGTCAAATTTCTTTTAAGTCATGTTTGATAAATATACAATATTTCTCTACCAACTGAAGGTAACAACTACTTTATTGTGCTAGAAAATAGGATTATGTGCCTGGAAAATGTATAATACTGCCCCTTTAAGATCAAACTTACATGTAAAACTAAAAACACATACAAAGACTCTGAGCAGACTTTTAGTATTTTGACTGGGTTTTCTAATGAACAGAAAGTACAGGTTGCAGATTAGCATGTACTACAGATCTAAGAAAAATGAAGAGCTTTTCAAGAATTTGTGGATATTGAACAAGCTGTGATTATTCTATCATGTATAACTAGTGCTAACAATGTTACAGACTGCCAGGAGACATAGAGAAAGAATGCAATTCAAATGCACACAAAAAGATACTGCAGCCACAGGAAATGGAAACAAAATGGAAAATGCTGCAAATAACAAAATCCCTGCTCCACACTCCCCCTAGTGGTCTAGAAGTTGAAAAAATCTTTCAGCATTTCATACTTGATAATTGCAGCATTTTCATTTTACTTCTATTTCCAATAGTTGCAGCAATTTTTGTTTGCATTTGTTTTGCTGATTGTAAGTTTTTGCTCCTATATTCTGTGATTGCAGTTTTTTTTTCTTTTTGTTTTGGATTTTGTGTCACATTTTCACCAATCAGCTACCATATAGAGAATAGAGAAAAAAAGAGAAGTCGAAAAGCAACAAGGCAACAATTTTCATATTGTAAAGGTATTTTATCATAGTGAGCAATATGTACAATATAATAACAGATACAATGTACATTCCAGAGTTGAAAAGATTCTAGCACTATTCATGATGCAGTATAACAGAATTATTTTCTAAAATCGATGCAGCATTTTCCAATTAATTCTGATCTACCAAATATGTGGGTCAATGCAAATTACACTCATGGATCAATTCTTATAAACAAATCATTCATTAATGTACTTATTAAGAGGCTCACTGTATGTTATACTGTAACACAGTAATATCTTTCCCTATGATATGTATCCAGTTTTCTGACAACCTTTCTTTCCAACACATTACAGCTTGTAACCACGGTAATTTAAACAAGATATAATCTGTCTGAGAGTGAATAACGGAAGCTATATGTCAAAGATCTCAAAGTGATGTCATCACAATACCAATGTCCAAAGATGCATGTTCTACAGAGGGGAACAAGTGTATATAGATAAAAAAAAAAAAGATTCAATATCAGTTGAAGACAAATGTTTTATCTACATGATGAAACATACGCTGCTTACTGAATATTAGTACTCCAATAGTGTTTAGAGCATATTACTTACTAGTCTGAACTTTTTATTTAGTGTACTTTAGATTATGGTCAGAATGATAGTTTGCAGGGTCCCTGAATGGTAGCTTTTCACTGTAAATTTTGAAACGCAACTACTGTCTTAAAATTTTTAGCTTTCACTCTTGGTCTTAAAAATATTATGATGTAAATTTAAACAGAATGTGATAGTAAGCTGAATAAACAAGTCCTTCTGCTGCTGACCCTGACTGTGAAATGTAACAAATAGAAATGTGTCAGAACAAGTTAATTAGACAGAAGAAACTGTGTCAAACAGTTTTCTGAACATAACCACTTAGCATTTATTTTCCTGTCACTGTGCAGCCCTAGAACAAATATTAAAAACAATATTTGAGTGTGTCCTGTCTGCAGGTGCAAGGTCAAAAATAGCAACTCAAAGTGTGAAATATTTTTTTACAGAATCTCATTATGTAGAAATGAGTATGAGTTTTTCTCTGGGTCATGAAGCATAACATGTCGCATAGACAAATCGGTTTCTGAACAGAGAAATGATAATTTCCTTCAAAAGCAATGTTTTTTTTTCTCATACTTTCCATGATGATGT